ACCACGCGACGGCCGATGTGGCATGAGTTTATTTGTGTATGTGCAATTCATGGTTGTACGTGGGCTGGGATACTGCCAGGGCGCCCACACCTAGACAGGAGGACGAATAGGGTCCTTTGGCTCAAAAGCCTAACCGCAAGGCAGCGGTGTCTGGCGGGAAATGCAAATGCATTACCATTTCTACGGAACAAGAGCCACATGTTCCAACCCCCAACCTGGAGGGCCAGGCGACTGTGTTCGTCAGACCTCTAACCATTGACCAACCTGATGTGAGAGACTGTGAGTGTTGCGGGACACTCTCCAGTATAGCTCAATGGATCGCTGAGGTGCGCAAACCGTCACACCACGGTAAGGTCCAGTCTCTTCGTGACAGAACAGGTGGAAGGTCGTCATGCTTGAGAGACACATCTGATGTTGAGGGGGATTCCGTGCTCACTGTTCATCTTTTTGTTGAAAGCCAGCAGTGCGGATTGGGGGTAGCAAGTAGCCAACTGAACTGTCGCTCGAAGTACTGTACCCAGCGGTTCAATCGTTCTGTTTTTCTGGATATCAGACAGTCATTCTGGTTACTGGTAGTTTCGCTAAAAAGACTTCTGAGGGCCAGTCCAACTAATCGCGTTGAACAGGCTCCGGATGTTCCCAGCATTTTTTTTTGCATTTTTCATTTCTCCGGAACTTCGAGTCATCCGAGCTTCTCAGTCTGTATTGGCACTTGGTCTCACCTAGTGTCGGATGATGCACCGGGTAGAGTTGTGTTTGCGGTCAGAAGGAAGTTGCCGCCGGGCCTCCAGCAAATCCCTGGTCCTGGAGGGCCAGAAGACTGTGTTGGTCAAAACTCTAGCCACTGGCCGACCTGGTATGAAACTGTGGGCACCGCATGGACAACAAGTAGTACAGCTCAATGGGTCAGAGAGACACACATACGGTCACATCAGGGCGAGGTACAATCTTATTGTGGCGGAATGTGACTAACGCGCACACTGGACGCAAAATTAATGTTTTTCTACCAATAAATTTCCTGAATCCTTGCACCTGCGGTATCACCAACCTGTTGGGAACCAGGTGGTTTGTTGGAAGGAGCATGAGACTGATGAGACCGAAGGACGAAGCGCATCTGTGATCAGCTAGTAGTATACAACAGAAGCTAACGGCGTTCGCACTGAGGCCTCGGATGCTTGACTTGGAATCATTTTGTATCGCAGCCAGACCTCAGTTGTTTGAAGTTTTGCGTTATTGCTTCAATAAATGCTCGGAAGCGCCCTGTGTCATACACTATGTGGATGCTCCCCATCTAACTGGCTACAAGAACAAACTGGTATCATGTTTCAATGCATATTTTAAACAGTTGAGAGCATCTAGGGGACTTCAGGACCTCTTCCTCGTGCTGCACGAAAACTTTCGAATCGTCCTGGGTGAATATTTCAGGGTCAATTACTTTTATCAAAGGAATATTCTCATGGGAGTAAGCGTCTAGAAGGCCCGCAGGTAGTGGTCGAGCCATCTCTTTGAGCAGAAAGACGCGCCTGGAGTGCTGGACGTTTAGTACGTAAAAGAAGATGGACCTGAGGGCGACAGTGTTTTGCGGACCAACGATAAGTTAGCTTAGAATGGTGGAGGTATACTGATACCAGTGCAATGTGGTTATAAAAATACATATGGCGAGATAACAGAGACCTCTGTATCAAGGGCACGAACAGGACAATTTACCTGTTGGGGTTCCATCATAAAATAGAAGTCGTCATACTCATATACAACGTTTTCGGGGGCGTTTCTGCCAGAGCTGAGGTACCTCGCAGCCCAATGGACGTCGATAAGCTGCCACGATCCGCGTATATGAACAACGTTCCAGGAATGGTTTGGCGGTAACCCTGAGAAGCGATCTCCCGGGAGGTAGTCGACTCCCTTGGCATACCCGCTGACTGTTATACAATGAATGCCAGAATAGCTGAAGCCAGTATGGGTGATACTATTTTGGACATACCTGCACATTATTTCGAATATCCGTGCGAATGTGCCGCGATTGTGCTTAAAAGACATTAATACCTCTTCCGGAGAATTCGGTGGGGAGGATTCAAAACGTATGTTCTGCATATCTTTGGAGGACATCCAGCGAAATATCACGCGGGCACGCTCAAGTTCATCCAGCCTGTATCGATAAACTAGATCCCAGACAAGGTCTCTGAAGGCGGGATGCTCACATCCGGCGACCTAATTTGCACATGCGATAAGGGGTGGGGGTTTACCTGGATAGCATGTTCATCCACCTTCGAAAACACATCGGGTTGGTCGTACACTTGATGTTTTAGATATTGTGGCAATCCTGGAGGAGGATGGCTGTCTTCCGAAAGCGGAGATGGCAAACGGAAACCGGGGGGCGCGTACATATCCGAGCATGAATTCGCGGCGGCGGCCAACTTGAACAACGCGCGCCAGCTTAGTACCCTGAAGTGTGGTGCGAATGAACACCGCAGTTGATACAACTGGTATGTATGAGGGTAGGAAGCCAAAGGCTGGTAGACTAATATTGTTAGGCGGGTCATCTGGGCTCAGTTTCCTGTAGTGGCCGAAGGGAAAAAGACCTGTGTGTCACACTACCAGCACAGTGCTGAGCAGAAGGCGTTATGACGTACCGAACTCGCGCCTCGCTGATTACCAAACACCACCGAAGAGTTTCACCATGCTTCTTGGGTTTGTTTATCCTTGCCACTTGCTGACACCGGTCAAATGAACTGCAAGAGCGAACAGGATGCTGGACAATGCAATCACCAAAGCCAACACCCACAAGAAGTCCTTCAAAATTTGGACAGACGTTGAGGGAAATTATTACGTTTACCAACCTCTAAGCATGAAGATAACATTGTCCTGTATATGCGCGCGTTCTTAACCCTAAACTTTACCTAACCCTTCACCGCCGAGTGTCGACAGGGTCAGTGGTAACCCTGTCATACACCTTTCCTCAAAGCAGCCAACCAGCCTCTGGAAGGGAGGTATCCCGTAATGAACCTGCAGGTCAAAAAAAGTGGGTGTTGTTGTCAGCTGAAAGCCAAAGGAATGCATGAAACAGCCAAGAAAGTGGCAGCGATGTGATTCAAGCGAGTCAGACCTTCATGTGGATGGTTATAGAGCGGATAGGTCGGCTTGGTCAGCCTCATCCACATAGTTTCAAGGTATCACATGTGAGTCGCCCGTCAGCATTATTCTCATCCTGGCCTTTAGTTCAGTAAATTCATAAAAGCGTTTTTGTTGTCTCGCTGTAGCTGCTGATCAGAACTTTTTCTGGGTGTCATTGATCTGGCAGCGCTTCACACAATAGATGATGGAAAGCCAGTCTTTCGTCTGTCATATACACAAGCAGTACCCTGATGATTCTCTGCGTCACCCAAGTCTTTCCTTAACGTTGTAGCCACCGTCGTCTTAATTGTGATTGTAACGTACCAGAGGCCGATTCGTCAGTCACACATAGCGTGCACATTATTCTCTAGTGCTCCCCGGAATAGTCGCATATAATAAAAAATATAAGAACGGCGAATTACGTAACCATTCACCAATGGCATCCAAGGCTAGCGCTAGTAAGCTTTTTTCGTTATGCACTACTTGCTGAATGAAGTCGGTAGCAGTGTTCAGGGGACTTGTGACCCCTTCTCTTAAATTCGCTGTCCAGCGCAAATTACGATACTGTGCTACTCACGTAGCAAATTACTGATAAACTACCCGATCGTTGGGGATGGTTCTATACCCGTCAGTCCTTATGTGTTTGCCGTCCTCTATCGCGTCAGCTATCTGCATGCTTGTACTGGATTTTCCTGTGCCACTTGTACTATGCTAGAATAATATTGACGAGCTTAGGTGGGCCTTCATTGCTAAGTCACTAATCATAAATCCACCCCTATCCTGTCTCATTTACTGACTTGCTGTCCCGACCTTAACTGTCGTTGATTCCTTGATTATTTTTTTGACGGAATCCATCCAACATAATACCCTCTCGACTCACCAGGCCGTATTGGTCTTGTTCCCGTCCTCCCTCTATCCAAGCCTCGAAAGCAGTGAATGGTCAAGTCCACTACAAATGGCATGTGCTCTGCCTCCACATGGATCTTCAATCTAACCAAAATTGCCTACGATCCCTCATCGGCTTTGCAAACCTCAATGGACTTTGATGACTGACCGAAAAATCCCGGCGTCCACGTAATTGCACATGCCCAGTCTAATCATGTCAAACAGGATGTCCGTAACAATGCTGCAGAAAAAAGTGTGAAAGTTAGGCAGAGCTTAGTGTGAACACAGAAATAACAAACGTCTGACCTTTACGTGAACGTTTTGTTCCACAGATTGAGATTTAAGAGAAATGAGCATCAGCCGGTTAATGAGTAGCCGCATCTTGCCACCCGCTAGAAGCAAACCAAAACTAATTTCGCCGAAACTATGGGGCTTTTGAAATTTTGATCCTTACCGCCAATTCATTTCATATGGTTCCACGTTCCAGTGATGTGTTGCTCATAACATTTTGTTCAGGCGTGCGAACTTTTAAGGTCACATTCCGCCGCTGATTTGCAGGTGGTCACACCAAGTTGATTAGTCGACCAAATTTGTGTGATTGCATTCTTCAGACAGCAAATATGATGGGTTTCTCTAACGTATTTCGGTACAAGATTATTTCGAGGATTGCCCTGCGTTCAACTTAGTAAAAGCAAATAGCTTGATCGATCACGCAAAAATGATGCGAGCACGTATCGTTGTGAATGATTCACACTCTCTGTTATGCAGAGCTAGCCAATTGAAAATGCAGCTTTTTCTTTTATCTGCGTGTAAATTACCAACACAACGGTGAATCCTGTTTCCCACTGGAATCAGCGACTTCACTAAGCTGCCTTACGTCATAAAGCGCACTGACTGCCGGTGCCGTTGAGGTGGATGTGGGCTTTCCGACGCAGTGGTCATTTGAATGGCACTTCCCCCTGATGTTTGAGCTTGGGGGAACACGCCCTTATTAGGAAACAATTTTTCCTGTTTCGGGAATTGATGTGTCCATTAATCTTCCTACGACGATTATTCAACCTGCATCTATTTCCCAGTTCAAAACAATTTTAAACGCCTATTTAGTTGGTTGTTTGCGCTGGCATGATTGCTGCCCCATACTGAGAAATTAATCATCTGTTCTACACGCTTTGCTTTTGTTTTCGGGTGAACAGAAACCGCTGAACGGCGGGAACAAACTCGATCCGGGAAGATTGAACAGCAGCTCTTTTCCTGTGTGAAACTCTGTGAATCCATGACGCCAGCCCAGTCCATAGAGCTCTTGTTTCATCCTTGCGTGCAGACCTTTCGAAATTACTGAACTCTTGATCACACTACAACTGCAGTGCGCACCACCAGTGACACAAGCCGACCAAACTTGGTTCTGTTCTGCAATGAAAATCTCTCACTTACTTACAAAGGATATATCCAGATGGCCAGTAAGCCATATTCACTACTAACGCAGAAATTGTCACACTTTTGGCTTTTTTCAGCGGATTCACCTTCCATCGTGCCTGCCGCCGATTGGGATGCAGCGGACAGGAGTGACTTCCAAGAAAGTACGATGATTCCGAAATTACCACCCCACAGTTAAAAATGTGAGTATCCAATTCTTTGTGGAAGTTCTTTGCATTTGCGAACTGTTTGGGTAGGCGCTTTTCCAGGGTTGCCAAATACCTCGATTTGAAAGGCGGCGTCTAGTGTAATGTAGCATCTTGATCAAATGGAACATTTAAATGGCTGAAAATGAACGAATGCCACCGCCTGTAATGCAGCTATACTAATTTGTGGAATTCGTTACAGCCCACAGTAAACTCACCAATCCGAGATAAGCGGGTGACTGAATCCCGCGTCCATCCGAATAGAAAGATGCGTAGAACTGTCTCATCCCACCTCAAAAAGCATTATTCTGACTAACAGTCGTGATACAAATGCTAATAAGCCAATATCCAAAATTGTAGTGAACATTCCAACTGATATGTGGTATATTGTCAGGAAAGATTATGTCACAGCCAGACAGGACTGTGGGTACTATGAATTATGCGGAAAAGGGACGGTCTCACAAACAATGGGTATTGTCCAATGTAGAAGGGGTCACCCCCGAACCAGGACGGACTAAATGCGATGGACATCGAGGGAAAACAGTTATTTTCGGCTTCCTCCATCTTTTGGTTAACATTTCAAGCCAAAGCACGATCAAATCGTTGAATTTTGAAGGTGACTGGTAAAATACAACGAGAGGGGGCGATACTTAAAGCGTGTATACAAACAAACCAGTTCGCATTAAGCATGATGAACCTACCCGTAGGTTCTACCCTAGCACTACAAGTAGAACGGAGACGTTAAATGCGTTTTTACTACGACTAATCAGTGACGGAGCGTTGGTGTGAGCTAATAGACCAAGCTGACGCACACAGCAATGTGTGTGCCTGGCGGGTTGCGAACCAATACAACGTTTTCGTATACTCCTAAAACTCAGTCGAGCTTTTTGGGCGTATAATGCGTTCTCAGGTATGAAAAACCTCGGCTTTTGTTCGGTTCATGTTTGATGGTTAGTTAGTCATCATAGCGGATAGCCAAATGTACCTAATTGACATACACGACTAACATGCAACCAGAGGCTAATGATACCCAAATAACTATTGAGGTGCAGCGAACGCCAATTATACAGGACGGTTGAACAAGCCTAGATTGTGTACACGTACGAAACGGCTTGACTAAGGAGGGTAAATCGTCCAACCCTAACCCCATGAAAATGTGAATTTTATCTGGTGTCTTGGTGGCAAGCATAGTGTGACTTTCCCGGCGAGTAGTTTTCAGTGAGCCATTGACGTCCTAAAAGGGGACGAAGATGAAAATTAGTTTATGGAAACATTGCGATGAGATGTGTGAATTATAAACTGATGGCAAAACTTTACAAAGCGGGCAATTCAGGGGTAGCAATCTCATAGAACCGTGCATACAAGTCATTTCTTGGCACTCATTCTTATTGCGTTATATCTTGTAAGTGGTGCCTACCGAGTATCATGCTTCAAGAAGTAAGGACCTACCTGAAATGCGTGAATCCTCAGTAAAGGACAAACAGACTGGAATAAGGTCAACAGCATAGCTATAATGAATGAATTTGTCGTCAAGCTGGATTTGAGTTTTTGTTCACTTTGTCAAAACAGGAGCGTAGCTGTACTACCACAACAGTATTAGTAATAATAACACTGTTTATTCCCGACGCGTGGGTGGCATACCGTCAGGCATGCTCATACGATTACAGGCAGAATACAGTACGACGAGGTATTCGTGGGTACTATGTATCGTGCGAAAAAACGATGGTGTCGTAGAAGGCGGTCAATATCAGATGTAGAGTTGGTCACAACTAAACCGGTATTGGAAAGATTACCAGGAGTTTATTTTACTTTTGGGGGAATATATCAAGCAGAAACAATATAATGCCGTTAAGATTTGAAGGTGACAGGCAAAAAGGGTACGAGAGCAAAAAAAGAAACGCACTGTATGGCACATAATAAGGAAA